TAGTGGTGGAAGTGACTCCGACTTGTCTCCCCCACGGCGGTTAAGAAGTGGTGAGGGGGGAAGAAGAAATAGTGGTGGAAGTGACTCCGATTTGTCGCCCCCACGGCGGTTAAAAAGCCGCCGCACAGGGGGAAAGCAGTCCGAGTCGGTGTCCAGTTCCAATCACAGCAGTGAAGACAGTATCGTTACAAGTGATGATAGGGAGCCCCAGCGACCTTGGGGAAAAGGCAAAAAAACCCAAGCAGGAACATCCCCGGAAAAGAAGGAAAAGCAAAACATGGAGTCTACCATCTACAGAGATAAAGGAGGGAAAATCATCTCGAGGGAGGAATGGATTAGTACACAAAAAAAGGATATGAATACCAAGTATAGCACAAGTGGAAAAAAGGGAGCAGGAGATGGAGAAGAAGAGCAAGACAAAGAAAAAGAAAAAAAAAAAAAAAAAAAAAACTAAAGGGTTGAAGGAACTAGAATGGGGAAGTGGACTGGTTCAAAAAGAAATGAGAAAAAAAAATTTGGAGGAAAATGACAAATTGGTAAAAAAAAAAAATATTGTAAATTACGACTACGACTCGGATTACGATGTAGAGTTAAGGAAGGCCCAGAGGAAAGAGGATCCCATGAATAAGTTTTTGGATCACACACAGGAGCAGCCAGAAAAAGCCACATGTCGGTACCAGTCTCCCTATAACAGATTCAACATCCTCGCCGGCTACAGGTGGGACGGCGTTGTGCGGGGAAATGGTTTTGAGAAGAGGAGATTTGAGGCGCTGAAACTGAAGCAACATCGGGACAAAGTGGCCTACCTGAACAACGTCTCCGACTTGTGAGGGGGAAAGCGGTACTGCGGCCATGTACGGACCATACCACTCCTCCTTACGGCTTAATTCTTTTTTTTGTGTGTGCCAACCCAGTGCATGACCCCCCCCATAAGTGCGCACATTTAACAGGATGATTAATGGAGAGAGTTTTGATCACCTCTGGGAGGCGTATAGAAATTATGAAAACCGGATGAGGCCCAACTAGCGTTTGTTGTGGGGGGATTGATTCGTTCTCTGTTGAGTTCCTGTCACGTTGTTGGCATTTCCTCCCCACACTTCTATACATGTTTGTCGTCCCGATTTGTACTGCTTGTACTGTTTTGTGCTTTTTTTTTTTTTTTTTAAAAACAAATTCACACCGGGGCAAAAATTACAAAGTGGAAGAGAAAATCCCAGTGTGGGGTTGGCCTATTTTTTTTTTTTTTCAAAAAACAACTGCGAATGAGTGAAGAATTTTTTTATGATAATAACAAAGGATTCACATGTTATTAGTCGGTCCAGCAAATTTGCTGAATTTTTTTTTGGCTTCCGAGCTGTAGAAGGGGAAGAAAGTGAGGGGCTTCAAACTGGATGGGTGGATTTCATTTCACTCTCGAGGCAACATACCCATTGGGAAGGGGCCTTAGCAGGGGTCCTACAACGTACGTCACCCCCAACATCCTGGGAAAAAAAAAAAAAACAAAAGCAGCATATCGGGAGGGATAATACACCTGCCTATATAAGTAACACATAGGTAATATCTGCACGTTGTGCATTTCGCTCTTGTGTTTAGGGGGGTGAAGCATAACGCTATGACGTCATGTGGGTTGCCCCAACAAGCATGGATCGGATACTACCCTAAATGGATGTAACCTATATGCACACGTGTACGTACCACATATGTATGCCCATTTGGGTGAAGAAAGATCCCCTGTTTAACGACACACACAATGAATAACCTGAGGAGGGCAGTCACAAATCGGTGCAGCGGGATGCTCAGGGGAGGATTCCAAGTAAGGAGCCAATTGGACATGAGAAGGAACAGCCACCTGGTGAGGATCATATGCACTCTGTCACATGAGCAGACGATAAGGTGTTTGGGGACAGTACAACGAAGGGGATTCTTTTTTAAAAGTGAAAAAAATGACATGATAAAAAACGAGATTGAGGAAATTTTAAAAACGGATAAGGACCCCCTGATGATGGGGAAGGGGTTGACAAAAAACGTGACAGGAAGCGACTACATGGGGGGGAGTGAACAGCATGAACCACCAAGGGAGAGTAGCCAAAACGAGTATAAGGGTAAAAGAAGAGGGAAGTTTAAAAGGCTATTCATTTTTATAGCCTTCCAGAGTATCCCCATCGTGGGGCTTATGTATTTGTTTAAGTACATAGAGAACGTAAAATTGGCGGAGCTGAATTTAACATTCGAGTCATCCGATGATATAATAAAAGAGGCCCTGAAACTCATAAAGGGGGATTCCAAATGTTTCTGTATGTACAGGGAGGGCGACGAAATTAAAACCTTCTTCGTGGACCCCTTGGGGCCTGAGGACTCCGAGGTGAACTACGAGGCGGGCGGGGCAAACGCGACCGACGCGACGGGCGAGTCAACCTCGGCAGACGCGCTGAAGGTAGAATTAGCCTCCCCGGGGAGTCAAGAAGAAGGCGCCAACGGGGACAGCCAAGCGGGGACCCCCCGAAATGGAGAGCAGTCTGTTGGAGAGCGGTCTGTTGGAGAGTGGTCACGCAGGGACCCCCCAGACGCACCGCCCCACCCCCCCCGTTCGAACCAAATGAATGACCTAACTAAAATCGTTTTATCAATTAACAAGCCATTCATGCATAAAGTAATGAACGTCAAGTCTCCCAGGGAGTTCCCCCTGAACTACCTCTACTTTTGCATCTCCAAAAATACGGAGATCTACAATTTTCTACAACAAAGAAATGAGTTGGTAAGTCTTCTTTACTCAGATGATGCGAAAAACGTATATGTCACGTTGACAGGATCCGCTTCCATTATTGAGAATGAAGTCATACGAAATGTAATTTGGACAGACCGCTGGTCCTACCTCATTTCAGATAACCTGCAAGACAATTATGTGTTAATTAAATTCACACCATCTACTGTATCGCTTAAAACCATTGGCTTTAAAAATCAGCACTGGAAGAGTAACATCGTTCGCCGCTCCATGACGGATGACAAGATGGCCTGGGTGAAGGCATAGCTCAGGGCGGGGGGGGGGCGAAAATATTTCTGTCCAGTAATATATACACAGACGAAGGGAGAGAAAAAAAAAAAAGGAGAACGCAAACATTTACCCTCCACACAAGTACATACAATGGAAAAATGCTTCCTCTCAATATGTCACGTGACAACATTTCTGTGTAGACTTTTTAGTGCTGAACAATGTTCAGGCAAAAAAAAAAAAAAAATGAATTGCGTCAAAAATGACACAGTTATATGTGGGGACAGGGAAAAGCCACTTTATTTTACACGCTACACTTTTTTTTATACAGTTATATAACGAATGGAAAAATATTTTACAAAAAAAAAAGGGAATGCGTGCGTATAAAAATGCACAAACACGTATCGTTGCTAATTCAAGTTTTGTCTCCACTGTGATGTGAAGTGATGACAAAACGATTATCGTGCATGTTTTTTTTTTTTATTATTAATTTTTTAAACTGTGCTGTCCCTTACGTGGTGCTCTATTTTACCAACTCTGGCTTTTCATCCTGGCGGTGGCACGACTTTTTTAACCTGTGCCCCTGGTGGGAATTTTTTAAGGACTGGAAAATAACCATAGGAAGATCACTGACGACGCGCGGAAAACTGCGCAGCAAAGGGCATAGCAAAGGGCATAGCAAAGGGCATAGCAAACGGCGTAGCAATCCGCATAACGAACTGCGTAAATTCCGTATCTTCATTTCGCCTTTCGCGTGTGGCTGTAGCAGTGACAGTACCACCCCTACTGTACCATGCGACATTATTTATTTTTTTTTTTTTACGCCCGTTTTGTGACCTTTTTATTGCCACTTTTTGTATGTACGTTTTTTGTGCCTCTCCTGCGAAACTGCGCTCGTACGAGTGGTATCATTCTGCTAGAAGCAAAAACGAGGCAGTTACGCCATCGGGAGGGGGTGGGGTGCTCCTGAGCCGATGCGATTTTGCGTCCCGTTGGGGGTAAAAAAAAACAGGCTGACCTCCGTGGGATAGGCGCATTCGCGTGATCATCCGAGGTGACATTTACTGGCTTCCACATAACAAACACAGAAAGCGAGGGAGAACCCAAGGCTGGACCCACATGTTGACGCTAGAGTGGCGAAGAAAGAAAGGGGACAAAAGTCGAAGGGGTCCTATTATGCAAAGCCCAAACGGATAAAGCAACGCGCTTGATAATTTTTGCGTCCGCTTAACTAAGACATTTGCAAAGGCGGTACTCGATATGGAAGGGGTGAACAATGAACCGCCAACCGCCAAGGTGGACCCCTGGACGAGCGCTATGAATGAAACGGCCCAAAACATCAACTCTAACCAAACGAAATATAGCATAAACCTAAATGAGTTTCATAACCTGCTGTTTATAATTTCTCTCCTGTTCGGAGTGGCATTTCTGTTTTATCTGCTTGTAATACTGTATAGTATTTTTTTTAAGGAATCCAAACCAAACAAAATAGTTTTACTCTTGGGTCCATGTGATAGTGGGAAGACGACTTTCCTGTTCAAATTAAAGACAGACAAATTATGCACAACAGTTCCTTCTATGAAAGAAAATGTAGCCTTTATAAATTTAAAGAGTAACAAATGGAAGAAGTGCGTTCGCTTTGTGGACTTCCCTGGACACCCCAAATTGTCCTTTGCTCTAAATAAGTATTTCAATATCACCAATGTTATTGTTTACATTTTGGACTGCTCGGATCGCCAGGCCCTCAAAGTCGTTGCGGAGTAAGCGCCACTATACTACCCTCTATATGAGCACCCATCAACGGCTACATGCAGAGCGATGTGAAATGACACGAAGAGGCGAGAAAACCACCAACAACAACGTCACCGCAAACCGCTTCTCTCCCCCTTCGCCCTGCAGGAAACTGTTCGATTTGTACACCAACAAAGTTGTCGTGAAGAAGCAAATTCCCCTCATCATATTTTGCAACAAGACGGACTTGTGCAACTCGCGCCCGAAGCAAGTCATTAAGGATGACTTGGAGAGGGAAATGTAAGGAAAGGACAGGGGAAAATGCGATAAATATATATCGTTACCCCATCCTACACAAATGAGTGATTCATCAGAATTCTCCAAACATATTGTTCATGCATACCTTGCATTTCCCCCCTCTTCACACACACTCTCTTTTCAGCGAAATTTTAAAAATGTCCAAATATAACAGCCTGGATGATGACTACAACGAAGAAACGGAGTTTTTACTTGGCACGAACTCGGAATTCTTTCGATTTGAAAAGGCGCCATGTCATACGGTAAGTACCGTTTCGCGATAGGGAAACAAGCATAATGCATGTGTTAGTTGTCGCAGACACATCAGTGCACTCCATACACTATCCACATGTGCCTTTATATATATTGTTTTGTCCCCACCCGTACTCCCTCTCCTCGCAGGAAATTTGCAGCGGATCTGTAAAGAACAACAACATTGACGAAGTGGTGGAACTTATAAAGAAATTTTACTAGCCATCTGCGAGTGGCTCCTTTTTAGTGAAACGTCGTGCCCTGCCTCTCATTAAGGGTGGATGTCGTTCATTTATTAAAATACTTTGTAAATTTTTTTTTTTTTTTTTTTTTTTTTTATTGATCACAAAGAGGAACAACCTTTTTGTTAATTTCGTTTCCAAGAGGTTTAACTTCACAGTTTAGCTTTTTTGTCGATCCGTGTGGACGCCTACATGCGTACGTGTGTACAAATGTACGAGGCGTTCGCATGACAATGCGCTTATATTTGTCACGACATGTACGTATGGAACACACATACGTCATTGCACATGTAAGCGAAAAACTTCCTAACTCTTCTAAAATATTAAGTTTAATTTAAACAAGAAAAAAAAAGTTGAATGTAACAAAAAATAGGGTGGTATACGGAAAAATGAAAAAAAAATACACATTAACTCGAATGCAACATGGGAGTTCTTTCAACTGGTGATAACGTCATGAAAAGGGAAAGAAGACTTGCATTTATGCATGCGAAGGACTTGTCGAATATGTTGCGTGCACAAAACAGAACTGGCACGTCATGCATATTTATTTGAATAAGCTTACCAATGAACAACAAAAAAAAAAAAAATACGCAGGGGTGTGAAGCATGGCACGTGAAGGAAATCAAACGGCGAGTGGAGAGAACACAACATAAACATTACACATACGAAAGGGGGAACTTTCTTGTTAAAAATACGACATGGAAAAGGGTTCCCCAGGTGGCTCACAAATAATGGGCAGAGCTACTATACTAACAAACAGAGGGGTGGGTCACCCAATCAAAAACAGACACACGGTGTAGGGAACTTCATGTCCAAATGGGCACCATTTTGTGGGCACGCAAAGTGAACTTACGAAAGAGAAAAATTAATATAATACAGAATGGCTACTTAAAAGGGAGTAAAACATATAAGCACTAAATGAAACAGGGGAGTAACAAATTGTATGTGTGTTTCCCTGCCGTGAAGGGCTACGTGGAAGGCTACATAAAAGACAAATCGAGAATGGGTGTACGTGTGTACGTGTGCACGTGTGCAGAATGCACCAACCGTAACATTTTACACAAACTTAAAAAATATGAACATTTGAGCTATTTAAAAAAAAAAAAAAAAAAAAATATGAACATTTTTTTTTTTTACCATTTTTGTGCATTTTTTTCTGGAGCAAAATGTCTAGCTAGCTATCTGGCTAGCTATTTGACAAGATGGCGAAATGGCTAACCATGTTGCAACGCCAAGGGGGGGTTGTAGTCACGCATATAGACTGCCTGCACAGAGATGCACCCCCCACCAATTAGTCATACAAACTGTAGTTGAAGCCCTTGATCATGTAGCTCTTTTGCGACTTGAGGGCAACAGGGTTGCTGTCGAATTTGTCAGAGTACCTCAGCGGCATACATAAAAACTCTTTGTCGAAATTTTGAACGTCCACTTGGTCAAACAGGGGGGGTTTAAAAGGTGGTTTCACTTTCTTGTTTAGCACATCACCCCAGTTGACATTTTTAAAAAAAGGATGATTCTTAATTTCTTCTGCGTCTGTAGCTCCTGACCCTAATCTTTTCTTGGGATTTTTTTCAAACAATTTCTTTAACAAATCTACTGCATCGGGGGATAGGGAGCGTGGGTACCTCAAATTTTCATGTTTGATTCTTTCGAACAGGACAGCTCTACTGGAACTATTAAAAGGTAATCTTCCAGTTAACATTTCGTACAGCATGATGCCTAGGCTCCACCAGTCCACAGCTTTGCCATGTCCACATTGGTCGATAATTTCTGGAGCTAAATATTCTGGGGTACCACACAACGACGTGGCAGAGTTGTTGTCAGAAATTCCTTCTTTGGATAAACCAAAATCGGTTAGCCTTATATGACCCATTTCGTCAAGTAACACATTTTCTGGTTTCACATCCCTATAAATTATGTTTAGCTTGTGTAAATATTGCAAAGCTAGGATAATTTCCGCCATGTAGAAAATGGCCGCTTCTTCAGTAAGTTCTTTCATTTTGGATAAATGAAAAAATAATTCCCCTCCCGGACAGTATTCCAATATGAAGTATAACTTCCTGGATGTCTGAAAAGCGTAGTACAATTTGACAATAAAAGGATGAGAGACACACTTTAACACATTCCTTTCTATTTTTGTATGTTCCAGTTGATTTCGTGAAATTATATTTTCCTTTCTGAGTATCTTCATGGCGTACAGCTTGTTGTTTTGTGTATGCCTTACAAGTAGCACTTTTCCGTATGAGCCCCTGCCAATTACCTTTAAGAAGGTGAAATTGTCTGGCCTCAGTGATTTTTTTCTTCTTCCATAGGACAGAGAAAGGGTTTTTCGAAGCTTCCCCGTTTTTTGCTTCTCGAACTCGTCGTGCAGGAATAGGCAGTCGTCATTCAGCTTGAATATTTGGTTGTTCTTGTCCTTCTTGTTGATCGGGGCGAAGTTTGTCACGTTTGCCATGTTGTCTTTGTAGCATACATTTCCGTTGGTGTTCGCGGCGAGGTCATCCCTGTGCAGGGGGCAAAAAAAAAAAACAAGGGGGGGGGGGTAAAATGAGGGCATATACGGACGAAGACGATACACACAACTGGGGTGATATCGTGCATCCGTGGGAACCGTCACACACGTGTGCACTTTTTCTAACCCCTGGTGGCTCTCTTCCTCCTCGCGTGGCCTGTTCTTCGCACTCCTCCTGAAGGTCCAGTAGGTGGACTTGAACCCCTTAAACTTGGGCGATTTTGCAGCTTCGGCCTTGTTAGCAGGGGTGGCCGACTTTTGCTTGTGCAACTTCTCCCGATCCTCTGCCTCCAAGATGGTCTTTGCATAAAAATACATGTTATCGGAAAACATGTCCATATCTTGTCCATACATATTTTTCGACATTTGAGAATTTGCCCCCTTGGAGTACATTTTGCAAAAAATTCCATTTCCATACGAATGTGAACAGGTATATTTGTCTACCTGATTTTTATAATTGTTCATTTCGGCGTCCGTTGAAAATTCAAGTCCTGCAGTAGTGTTCATTTGCATAAAGTCGTCAATTTCCTGACTTTTGCAATTATTTTTTTTTAAAAATGGAATTTTTAATAAATATCCCCTTTTTTTATTGTGATAATTATAATTTAGTTTAAATAATTTGGTCCTCTCGACACTATTGCGAGGTGCTGCTTTGTTCATAAGGCAGTTGCTGTGTTTACTCATTTTGAAATTTTTGCTTGATGCGAATAATTCATTAAAATTTTTCTTTTTTAAAATGTTAGCATTATTTGCATTATTTGAATGATTTGAATGATTTGAATGATTTTCATTTTGGTCCATTTTGAGGGATTTTTGTTTCGTATTGTTGTTTTCAATTGGGGGGATGCAGCCATTCTTCTCTCCTTCTATTTGCTCTTTCTTCTCCATGTCATTCTTTTTATTGGTAATTATTTTTTTGCTTTTCCCCTTAGTTCTGGTGATTAAAAAGTTTAAATATTTTCGAAACCTCTTTTTGTGAAATGACATGCCGCAGGAGCTCTCCGGGGGTGCGTTGTTGTTCTGTCTATTCCTTTCCGAGAAATATTTAAAAAACTTCATGTGGCTCATTTTGGGGGGGGACTGATACGTCTGCGCATTTCGTGTGTATACATTCGTACGAAGGTGTGGCATGCCTCTTCGCTGCAGTTCCTTGTGTGTATGTACGTAACGGTACAGGACATATAGGGGGTGTGTGCAAAAAGGAGGAGGGGAATGCTCGTAATAACACTTGGGCAAATTTTTAATCGGGCATATGTTCCATATCGGACAATGGCTTTTCCTTTATTTTCTTCTTTTTTTTTATGAAAAAAAAAAAAATGAACAACTATTCGAAAGATAAACAAACCCGTTGACTCTTCAAACTGGAGCAGCATGCAAACAGCAGGGGGAATTCCAACGGAAGCTACACTTTTTTTTTTTTTTTTTTTTTAAAATTAGTTCCCACTAGTTTGAGTCACGCACATAAAAATGAATTGGACATTATCATGAAATTAAAAGCTTAACGCATCTTTACGCCAAAAAATGCGCCAGCAGAATTGGTGAAATAACTTTTGCTTATTTTCACTTGGGTTACGCGCTTAAGCTATGCAGGGAAAAAAAAAAAAAAAAAAAAGAAAAAAAGCGCGGTGTGGAGTAAGCTGCCACAGGCGAATATGACGAATGTGGTGAACAGACTCGCGGTCGGCGTGAGAACTGTGCAACGAGTGAAGGCAGTAGAGAGGCAGTCTCGTGGGGGTGAAAAAGTAAAGCTAACGCTATATAAAGCTGCTGCTACAGTTGGCCTTAACGTTCGAGCTGATGTTGACAGACAAAGCAAGTTCGGGAATTAAAGGCATGTTGGGAACATATTTAAGGAATGAAGCGAAAAATTATAATATGGGGTACATTTTTTTGTGTATATATTTTTTTGTATATATATTTTTTGTAAATTTGTTGGAAAAGTAGATGGAAGGAGAAGCAAACAAAATGGAAAAAACCAAATTGGAAACAAACTTGCGCACACGCAAAAATGGCGAGTATTTGCAGGCACAGGCGCAAATGCACATTTGGCTTTTGTCCCGCAGGTCTGAATGGGTAAACTTTTATGCATGTAAAAAAGCATGTGCACGCACGGACGAGCTGGGGCGAGGAGTTGAGTATGTTTGCTCCGTACTGTATACTTACGTGTGAACGCGTAAAGGTACATGTGTATGGCGAATTTTACAACTGGCTGCTTTGTCGCGCGCCCTTCTCATTATAACACCCGTTTTTACACTTTGACAATGTGCCTTTTTGACTTTTTTTTTTTTTTTTTTTTTTTTTTTTTTTTTTTTTTTTTTTTTTTTTTTTTTTTTTTTTTTTTTTTTTTTTTTTTTTTTTTTTTTTTTTGAGCTTCTCACAGGGGAATAAGCAAGCTGCAGAGTTTTATTGCTTCCTCTTTTTTTTCCCCCTTTTTTATTTATTCACCTTTTTAAGATAACATAAATGAAAGCCATTTTTGAAACCCCATTTGGTGAAGTAGGCTCAGTGATTTTTCTGACTTTTTTTTTTTTCTTTTTTACACGCAGCCCTTTCGGGTGTTTTCCTTGCGCACATGTCCACAGCGTGCCTTACGTAGATAAGCACTCCGACAAGTATGTAGAGGTGCACGCACGCGCAAGCATACACGCGTAGCATGCACACGTACGGATTTTGCACATGCTCAAAGGAGCCTCTCTTTGCAAAACGCACCTTCTGAGTCTTCTTGCGCAGCGCCCGTTGGACCTTTCTTCCTTTTCGATTTTAAACGTATTCAATCAGTCAGTTTGGTAAGGCGTCCTGGCCTGCGTCCCTCCGGTGGACACAGCTGATCTGGGACGCGCGCTGCCCACATTCCTCCCCAAATCGCCCTAATCGTGTCTTTTTCCCCCCGTTTCATGTACCTGCCACACACAACCTAGAGAAATGTTCGAACAAACGAAACAGCCCCCCGACAAGTCTACCAATTGCATAAACTCAAAAAAGGAAAAAGCAAAACAATTATTCCTGCAAGCATTAAACCATGAGCGTGATGAAAATTATTTAAAGGCAACAAAATTTTATCAAGAAGCCGTCAAGCTATATCCAAATGTTCTCAAAATATACATCGATGACAACGGTGATAACAGGTAGGGTTGCATTACTCGAGCGTGTACGATAAGATGCTCTCATTTGGAGATGGAAATCCATTTTGTTTACCATATAAGACGGCCATCCTTTCCCCCTTTTCATTTTAATACACCATTGTTTTACGTATTTGCCTGTGGCCCTCCTACTGCCGCCAATACGCATCGTCCCCATTCCCCACCTTTGCAAAATGCAGTGATAAAAATAAACCTGTGGAAGAAGAAGTCCAGAGAGAGCAAAATGTGTACTTGATTAATATATTAACAGAAAATTTTTTTGGTATTATAAAGTTCTTGGATTTTTACTCCCTCCATAGGTTAGCAGAGTGTGTCCATGCGCGTCTTTTTTTTTTTTTTTTTTTTTTGTTTTGTGCGCCGGTGTGATGGTGTGAAGTGTTTGTCAATAGGGGGGGTTATTCTCATCACACACATAAGGACGTGGCCACTTTCAACGAGTGCTACGTTTTACTCGAGAGAGAATGACCCGCTTGCCCTGCAACACGTTTTTGCTTATATCAAAACGCGGGGAGCACAAATGGGGAGGTAAAAGAGAGAACACAACATCGTATGAACCGTTGATACATTATTTATTGTTTTTTTTTTTTTCCCCTGCGATGGCCGTGCAATGCAGATTCCTCTTTTGCTGCAAAGGCATACTCTCCCATGTGTCGGTTGAAAGCGAATATAGGCGGCTGTGTGATCGAAATTTCCAAAACTATGAGGAGAAGAGGAAGGCGTACGGGAATTCCTTCAAAAGGTGTGGCAGCGAGGAGATGAGTTGTAATGAGCCAAAAAAAAAAAAAAAAAAAAAAAAGCTAGCCGAATGGCTAAGATGACCGTGCACACATCCGCTCCGCTTTACCTCCTGCAGGTTGTTACTGGAGTATCCCCGCATCCGGCACGACGGCGTCTACATCAGCTGCGTCACGTACATAAGATGTGAGTGGCTGAGCAGGCGAAGAAAAACGCTCCAACACAGGCGAAAATCGCACATGTTAAACTGTGCAAAAGAGTTGTGTGCATGTACAAACTTTTAAGCGATGCTCCCGTCGTGCACTATTCACAGTTGATCGCCTTTTTGCCCAACGATAGCCCTGAAGGACATCGGTAATATACACCTGGACCCGAAGGACAGAGATCGAGGCATTTACAACCCATGCGTAGTGACCTACTTCCGTTACCTTCTTTTCCTCAACGGATCGAACAAGGTGCTGGTGATGCGCTCCGAAGTGAACAAAAAGGAAGTCCTGGAAGCCCTAAAAATATCGTACAATAAAATACGCAGCTGGGATTTGTCCGTCCCAAGTGATGACTTGATAAAAAGTTGGATACAATTTCAGGGGGAGAATGAACATGGGTTGGTTAAAATGGTGAGGATAGGTGAGTATACATTCAAGGAACGTGAAAGGGTGATTGAAATAAGTTACCCGGAGTCTCTCACCGAGCCCTTCAAGTATAAAAATATCATTCAGTTGCGTTTAAAAAATTATTTGAGCGCCAGTAACAACATGCTCAAGTGGTTGTCCTTTAAAATTTTATCCAAGCTCAAGCTCAGCTCTTCGGAGGACACCCTGAACATCAACAACAGGCAGTACAGGTGGGCGTGCAGGGCAATCACGTATGCGCAAACGCCAATCATGTATGTGGGGACGTGATGAGGTATGCGCGAACGAGAGTGTGTCTGTGCGTGTATATTTTCACCCACCCCCATTCGCCGCCCTCCCCTCCTCAGGCCTTTCTTCTTCTTTAACTTGAAATTTCTCTCCCACCTGTTTATAACCAAAATACCAGAAACATGACACCCGTGTGGATATGCCTACTTGGGCAAGTTCCCCCAAGTTGTTATTCACCCCAGGCACTTACACATAACATGGCAAAAAAAAAAAAAAAAACATTTTCGCTCTGTTTCGCGTAAGTGCGTTTTTTTTTTTTTTTTTTATGTCACCATGCATCGTCTTCGCGCTATATGGGCGGCCATAATTTGTTCAGAATTTTCCTCAAAAGGGGAAAGTCTCGCTTGACTTTATCCTGAAGTGATGTGTATCCTTTTCGTTCTATGTCGCTTTAGGTAGCTTCTTTTTTTTTTTTGCCTTCTTTTCACGCCATAGGGGAGGAAGAGGTTTCCCCCCCGATTTTGTTGCCCCGTTTGCTCTGCCCGTGACACTCCAAGAGAAGGAACGCTTCTTTCTCTCCCGTGTAACTTCCCCCTTGTTTCATGTCATACCTTCCACCGTCCTCTTGGCGTTATGTCGTCATTTGGCGTAGTAAAAAATAGTTTCCCCTGGCACATGCGCCCCCCCCACTGCTGCTCCATCTGCACTGATCCTCAGCGTATGAACGGCAAGGGGAATGGTTTAAGTTCTTTTTTGCTTTTTCATTTATTTATTTTTCCTTTTTAATGTAAGGTAAAATTGCCCCTTTTATATAAAATTATGGGGTACCTTTGCAAAATAAGCACAGAGCAGAGAGAGACGCCTTTTTCCCCATGTGCGTTTTAGAAAAGTGTGAAATCGGAAAAGCTTCCACTTCAGCCCATTTGGCAGTGTTCTTCGTTGAGCAAAGATCGTTTGGGGTATGCGGCTAAGAGGCCGCTTTTGGAGGCGAGCTCTTGTGCACAATTGCGTATTGACGACCTGTGGGGAGAGACAGAGACAGTGTGCGTGCGTGCGTGTGTGTTGGAGAATGTCCGATGAAACAGTTTTCCCAATTAAGGACCTCAAACCTCTAATGAGCAACCTGTGCATACAGTGCCTGATCGTAAAGTATATAGAAGATCCTCCAGACCACATAAACAACACAGTAAAATACCACTACCTAGTGGCAGACATAAGTGGGTCGGTCATATTGTGCATCCCTCGCACGCTCATAGAAGAGGAATTAACCAGAAAGAATATTGACGTATGCAATGATGACCTGGAGGATGCGTTGGAGTGGTACAGCTCCACTCCCCTCAATCTGAATGACCATGTGGGTAGTGGCACGGCGAGTGAAAATATAAGTTTTCCTCATGACTTAGGGAAGAAACTACCCAGCGGGACGAACACAGCGAACGCGTCGAATTTGACAGGACCCTCCAACTTGACCCAAATTAACAACCCTAAAAGCTTCAAGTACTTTTTCAGGGTGGGGGACATCCTCATCATTTACGGGGCCGTGACTACGTGGTCGATGGGCAAAATGGTACTACTTGAGGGGGGCCACATTTTGCGGCAAAATGAGCGGCAATAGTTTGCGTCCCCATTTAGCTGCAATAACGTGGGGGACATGACACCACAACGCCCCCCCCCAGACGAGCCACGTGTTCACTTCTTTCCTCCCGCCCCCTTTCCCCCAGGTTATCATGCCGAGCACCCGGACCAAGAAAGGAAGCCCACATGAAGTCAGAGGGTCCATCCAGAGAGTAGGCTTCTTCAACATGAATGTGAATCTGGAACCGAACGTGAGTAACATGATTACTTCAACGACGGAGAAGAAGTACCAGGGTGGGGTTCAGACAGTTCGGAGTGTCCCCCAAGGGAAGGGTACAGATGGTGGGAAGAGTAGTGACCACCAGGAGTTTGTGCGTGAAGGGAAGGAGAACAAGTATGAAATTCTTACTCTGCTGCGCGGCGAGGACATGTAAGTAGGGGGTGTGGTCTCGGCAAGGTGTCCTTGGTTTGACCACGGTGCAAAAAAAAGGGAAAAAACAAGTAAAAGCGAATTAACGAATTTGTTACGTAAATCATGGCGCAGTTTTTTGAAGTTGCCCGAACGGGGGGACAGAAAAGGGGGAGAAAAACAAAGAGGGCAGAATGTGGAACCCATTGAAGGGTAACAATTCGTCCCGCTGTGTATAAAAAAAAAAAAAATGCTACACTCCTGCTACACGCTTGCTTCACACCGAGACGTCCCTAAACAGTTTCGACTTTGTCTGGCTGCGAACAAAGGAATAATCATAATAATAAATGTACGCATTGTCTTCGGCTAGGCTGTTGACATATCCGATAGGCACGCTACACTCTTTGCACACAACTCTATACTGAACTTCCAACGCGTCTTCCTTTCTTCTTATAAGTATATGTTCCTTTTTCGTTTTATGAAATTTTTTATGTACAATTTTTTTAAAGGGAAAAATGATCGAGCCGTCTGTTGTCCTCTTTGGTAAATTCGTAACGTTCGTTTCGCTAATTAAACAATTGAAACCGCATAAGAAACAAAAGTAAAGGAAGAAATCTTTTTCCACTTTGCTCACCAGACTATCCTTGGAAGTGTAGTTAATTATTTTGAACTTTCTTTGTTTATTGTCATCCTTCTGTGCTTCCTTCTCGTTTTGGACTTTCCTTTTTATTTCGAGCAGCGTCACTTCGTTCTTGCTCCGTTCATCATGTTCATTTTGCAGAGTGAACGACGTGATTCCAGCAAGCGAACGGCTCCCTCCTGCCTCATTCGCCTGGTCCTGTTCCTCCATCCTTGCAACAGTGCTGGAGTCGCGCCTGGCCACATTTACCAGTTTAGTGGCCAAAGAAGGCTTTCTGCCGCCTTCATCGCTCGCGTTCACTCATTTACAATGCCGTCGGAATTTTCTTCTCAATTTCGTTTCGCGACTTTATTCAAAAAAAAAGGGGTCCAAAAATAAGCTTCGAGAGGCGATCTGCTTAAATGGATCCACTCGGGTTTGCCCGCGCGTTAGCTAAAAAAAGGGGGAAAAAAAAAGAACGTAAATATATTGCCTAACTTTACTCCGGCGCGTATATAATTTTTTTTTTTTTTTTTTTTTTTTTTTTTGTAATACAGCTTTGCTGCCGAAATTTAGCCCCCCGCGCAGCACCCCATTTGACGTGTTCCAGTTGGGATATTTTCTCCCCCCCGCATATAAGCCAAAAACCAGGTCGAGGGTCCGCTTTGCTTTTTCCCCATTTTTGAAGACACCAAGAGGAGGACTTGCAGTAGACCTTCACCTGTTTACAACTTCTTTGCGCTCGAAGAGAAGGGGCACAGGAGGACAGAAAAAAAACGGGAGGGATGCTACTTACTGAAGCAGAGACGCGGTTTTTTCTGCCCAGTTAGGCTCTCCAGGGGGTGATTAAAAAAGCCTGTGCGTGTAAAGGGGAAAAGGTGAGCCAGGTGTGGTGAGGAAGGCACACGTAACCAATACTGTGATATATCTCAACCCCATTGTGTGGAGGAGATGCGCACCTGAGGGCCTTTTTCTTCAACCATGCGGGACGAGGCGACAGATCAGCCGCAGCAGGGGAAGGGAGAAGGGGACAAAATAAAACAGAAAGTGACCTTCGACGTGCTAATCGTTGCAGCGATTGCTCTTATCGTCCGAGCACTCACTGCAGGATACACCATCATATGGTCAAGAGTGATAAGTAGTTACAAGTCTAGCAATGACCTTATGTGTGATGAAGAAGACTCGAGTTTGTGGAGTTATTTAAGATGTTTTTCTTCCTGGGATGGAGAATATTTTTTACGGTTGTCATTAAACGAAACAGAATACCTGTACGAGCAGAACCATGCATTTTTTCCTGCACTGCCTTTAGTAGTGGGTTACTTAAAAAGACTGCTGAAGGGGCGGTTCCCCAATATGAGTCCCTGTTCGATGCATGTGTTAATCGCCTTAATTGTTAATAATTTTTTGTTCATTTTTTCCGTTATTGGGTTGTATTTATTCGTGTTTACTTGCTTCAGTGTAAAGGCAACACATATGAGTTTGTGTTCCTCAAAGGCGGGAGCAAAGAAGGAGACTAACAACTACATGCATGATATGAAGAGTTTAAAGGACTGCCGGCGTGTGAGTTTTTTGGCGGCCCTTCTGTTTACCTTTAACATGGGAAACATACACATGAGCAGTTTTTACACCGAAGGTTTTTTTAGCTGTCTGTCCATTTGGGGATTCACTTTTTTGCAGTGGTCCTTGAATGTTGCCCACAAGGGAGGTTTCATTTTTGAATTGTCAGCAGTTTTATTATTTTCGTTTGCATCCCTCTTCAGATCAAATGGGATTTTATTTTTAATTCCTCTTTTCGTACACAACCTGAAAACGTGTGCATTCTGTGTGCACTGCGCAGGGGTCATATCTCGGGGTCGGGAAGCAAACAGAACAAACAGAGTGAAGATGTTGAACTATTTCTCACACAAACGAGCTTTATTGAAATGTGTCCTCCACTGGGGAAAGGCACTTCTCGAAGCTACACTCGTGGTACTACCACTTGTCACCTTCCAAGCTTACGCCTATCACTTGTATTGCGTGCAGGGACATGATAACCTATGGAGAGAGGAACACAAAACATTTTACAATTTTGCCTTATCGTTCTGGTCAAACCCTGTTGAGTATGGAAGAAGGTGGAGGTGCACCTATGCAGGACAAGACGAACTAATGCGTAGACCATGGTGCGAGAAAACCATTCCATTTATTTACAATTTCATTCAGCATAAGTATTGGGGTGTTCAATTTTTAAAATTGATCCACTCCCCCAGTGTGAATCTGCTCTACGCATTGCCTGTTTATTTCGTATCTTTTCATGCCGTATATAACTTTTTTCGGCACCGGATATTGCACCCGGATAAAGCTTTTTTTTTTCTGTTTACTCCCTTCCTTGGGGAGGTTCTCCACCTGGGGGTTCTATCCTTCTACCTGTTGATTTTTGCCCACGGAGAGGTGAGAACACGCAGCGATGAGCGGAGCGACGAGCAAAGCGACGAGCAAAGCGACGAGCAAAGCGACAAGCGAAGCGATCAGTGACGCGATTAGCGAAGCGATAGAGTGGAACAAATCGGAGCGTCCAAGTCGCACCTTTACTTCCCCCCTCCATGAGCGTGCTTTATTGAATGCCACGCGATGGAATACCTCATCATGACGTCACATTACAACGTGGCCAATTCACCAATTTGTCCTGTCCCCCTCTCCTGTTTGCAGATCATCCTGCGGCTCATCGCGAGTTCCCCCCTTTTCTACACCCACTACGCCTACCAACTCACGTACTCAGATAAGTGGCACATGGTCCTCCTGGTGAATTTGTTTTATTTTTTTGTTGGACCTCCCCTGTTTGGCACGTACATCGCGTGGACCTAGCAGGTGCGAGGTGTTAACGTGTTAACGTGTTAACGTGTTAACGTGTTAACGTGATAACGTGTTAACGTGATAACGTGTTAACGTGATAACGTGTTAATAACATGATCGAGCAACGACACATGTTTGTTAAAAAAAAAAGAAAAAAAACTTTATTAAAAATGTTTGTAAAAAAAAATTGTGGCAAAATGTAACGGCGCCTATACAATAACGTGGAGATATTTATTTCCATTTCTCTGCCCAGGACAGCTGCGCAGATTTGTTCACTTTAAGGCAGCAGCAGTTTTCCATAGTTTTTGGATCCGCCTCATACAGGGGGCTGTGCGTGCGTGCATTTACCTACACATACTCATTTGCACACACAGTTTGACTTGTTCACTGTAAAAACGTTCAACAGACATGGCGCGGAAATTGTTGTCGCACCGCTTCGCCTATTCACCGCTCGGCCACTTCACTTGGCGCTGCTCTTCTTCTCCTCGTAAAGAATGCCCTTGTCGAACATGCCCCCGAAGGTGAGTTTGTCCCTTTTGCGGGCCTCCTTCAATTTGTTAAGGCAGGCATCATAGGAGTTTCGTATTTCTACGTTGTTGGGGCTTAGGGAAGCAGCTTTGTAAAGGTTTTCTCGAGCCACTTCCAAAAAGCCAAAGTGCATGTTAGCAACACCCAATTTGTAAAGCGCTTTCACATTATTTTTTTCAATCTTAAGAACCTTGGAGGCGTGAGCGATGGCATTGGGGAAGTCTTTATTCTTATTGTAACAGGTAGACAAATTTAGGTTGCAACTAATTTCAATATTTTTTTTTTTTTCAGATAAATCTCCATCCCAATCTTCTGAATGAATAAAAAAGTCTAGTGCTTCCTTGTACTTGGAAATAGCTTCGTTAATTTCATTTTTTTTAAAAAATTCATTTCCTTCTTC